TCGCCTCTCCCCGCAGCTCGGCTCCGGCCAGGACTGCAGCGCGCAGTGCGCCCAGTGCGCGTCCGACCCCGCGCCGCGCTGCCCGCTCGGCGTGAGCCTCGTGCTGGACGGCTGCGGCTGCTGCCGCGTCTGCGCCAAGCAGCTGGGCGAGCTGTGCACGCAGCGCCACCCCTGCGACCCGCACAAGGGCCTGTCCTGCGACTTCGGCTCCGCGTCCAATCGCAACATCGGCGTGTGCACCGGTAAGAGCCGCGGCGGCGCCTGCCCCCGGCCGCCCCTGGGGTCGAGGCACCTCGGGCGTCCCTCTCCCTCCCAGCCGCCTGCTGGAGAGAGACCCCTATCCCGCAGGGTCCTCGTCCGCAGCCCGCCCCCTGCAGCCTAGACCGCGAGTCGCAGCCCTGAGCTCTTCCCTGGCGCTCAGAGCCTGACCTCTGGCTGTACCTCCCCTTCTCCCTGCAGCCCAAGGGGGTGCCCCCTGCGTGTTCGGCGGGAAGGTGTACCGCAGTGGAGACACCTTCGACAGCAGCTGCAAGTATCACTGCACGTGCCTGGACGGGGCGGTGGGCTGCGTGCCCCTGTGCAGCATGGACGTGCGCCTGCCCAGCCCCGACTGCCCCTTCCCCAGAAGGGTCAAGCTGCCCGGCAAGTGCTGCGAGGAGTGGGTGTGCGACCAGCCCAAGGACAGCACCGCGGTGGGCCCTGCGCTGGCCGGTGAGTGGCCCCTGTCTCTAAGTCCGCGTTGTCACCCTCCCGCAGGGCTGCATGCCAGGGGCAGGCGGAAGTTGTCTTATCCGGGCGTTTTACCTTGGGTTTGTGTTCTCTGCTCTCTCAGCCTATCGGCTGGAAGACACATTTGGCCCGGATCCAACCATGATGCGAGCCAACTGCCTGGTCCAGACCACAGAGTGGAGCGCCTGTTCCAAGACCTGCGGGATGGGCCTCTCCACCCGGGTTACCAATGACAACGCCTACTGCCGGCTGGAGAAGCAGAGCCGCCTGTGCATGGTCAGGCCCTGCGAAGTCGACCTGGAAGAAAACATTAAGGTTCGTGCTGTGCGCCCGTGAACTCATTTTCATGGAATGCTAATGAAAAGGACCAAAGTTAGTTCTTGTGCCACCCTTGTTATTAAAGACCTGTTATCTCCAAAAATACCTAACCATGGAGTTGTTTTCCCAAATAAGAGATGGTGTAATAGGATCCACCCGTTTACCTCCACATGCAGAATCCTCCACAGCTAGTTAATTCAGGACGTTCCAAGAGAGGCCGTGGCTATTTTTGGAAAACTGGCAAATGAAGCTCAAAAGTTTCTGTCCTCAGAACATAAACAGAAATCAGCCAGCATAAGTCTTGGAACACAGACTGTTGAGGAAGGCTACTCCCCCTCGTACTAATTGGTTTTCTCCTCTCCCTTGTCTTCCTTAGAAGGGCAAAAAGTGCATCCGTACCCCTAAAATCTCCAAGCCTGTCAAGTTTGAGCTGTCGGGCTGCACCAGCGTGAAGACCTACCGGGCTAAGTTCTGCGGGGTGTGCACGGATGGCAGGTGCTGCACCCCGCATGGAACCACCACCCTGCCCGTGGAGTTCAAGTGTCCGGACGGCGAGATCATGAAGAAAAGCATGATGTTCATCAAGAGCTGTGCCTGCCATTACAACTGTCCTGGAGACAATGACATCTTTGAGTCCCTGTACTACAAGAAGATGTATGGAGACATGGCCTAGAGCCAGAGCGTGAGCGACATTAACTCCATTAACTCGTTAGTCTGTAACTTGAACTAATTCACATCTCATTTTTATGTAAAAGTGATTTCAGTAGCACATGTTAATTTAAGTTTTTTCTAGCTGGGGGAGAGTTTCCCACCCCATTCAAAACATTGTGCCTGTCTTACAAATAGTCTACCAACCCCAGACACTGGTTTGAAGAAAGTTAAGACTTGACAGTGGGACTACATTAGCGAATAGTGCCAGAATGTATACAGAGGTGTGGCTGTAGGAGCACTGTGGACGCCTGCGGAGAGGCTAGAGCCATCTGACGTCATCTGAAAGCAGTAACAGGCCTGCTACTTGGAGTATACTCGGGAAGGAAAATGTTACAGGTTCGGGGCTGGGGATTTAGCTCAGCGGCAAAAGCGCCTGCCTGGCAAGCGCAAGGTGGTGAGTTCGGTTCCCGGAACCGGAGAAAAACCAAAAAAAAGAGAAAATGTTACAGGTTCACTGACCTCCCTGTAGCTCCAGCAGTAGCAAGGGTGTGCGTTCTCCAGCCATCCCGAGGCTGAGTCAAGTTGTTCTTGAAATCAGGACAGCAGACTCAGCTGTGACATTCTGATTCCAATGACAGTATTCAGGAGTCAGAATCCTGTCTATTAGACTGGACAGCTTGTGGCAAGTTAATTTGCCTGTAACAAGCCAGACTTTTTTTTATTAATATTGTAAATATTGTGGAGATATATATATATATTTGTACAGTTATCTAAGTTAATTTAAATTTGTTTGTGCCTTTTTGTTTTTGTTTTTAATGCTTGGATATTTCAAATGTTAGCCTCAAGTTGTGAACATCATAGGTAGGACAGAAAGCTTGTCTGAGAATTGGATTCGATGGAAATTGTATCAGAGTGACAGTCCATCCAAAGCGATAGCTTTGCCGAAGGTGAGGTCCCGGAGTCCCTGGATGTAGAAAACGTGGTAACCTCACTTTTCAGGAATAAATGCCCTTTATTCAAAAACGACTAGTTCTATACAACTGGTCAGTTTTCCACCTGGAAGCATCTGTTTGTACTTTGACTATGACTGTTTTTCAGACAGTTTATTTGTGGAGAGTATGACCAAAAGTTACATGTTTGCACCTTTCTAGTTGAAATAAAGTATATATTTTTTCTATAAAGAGCTTGGCTATTCATTTATTCTTGTAAAACTTTCTGAGTTTTCTTGAACATCAGTGGGAAGTTTTTGTTTATCACAAAGTAATTTACCAATAATTCTAAATACCTCTGAAAATATATACTAATAAATTGGTTAATCAATAGAATTTTATGTAAATAACACTCCACATGGAATCAAGTGTCACACACTTGGTGGCATACACACCCTATTGAGGACACAAGCATTCTTTGTTACCTTCATAGTGCTCTAAGAACATTTAAATTCAATTATCTGTGGATGAATTCAATTTTCACTAACGCTGTGGTATTAGATCTGGTCTTTTTACATCTTTAGCCATTGTCGGTTCATTTCCAACCCTTCATATCACAAACTAGTCTGTACCTTATATGTGGAAAATGTTTAAATACTGTGTTTTCCTAATTTCTGTGCTGTACTGTAAGTCTGAGAGTATACAATGAAATGTATATTCAGATGGAGCTGTTTAATAAACATTTTGAATAATTCTGTTTCCAGGGGCCATGATAATCAGTGGCAAATGATAATATAAAGAGAATAGAAAAGAAAAGTCAGTCTTCCACTCACTAACATTAGTGGAGATACGTCTTCATTTCAAAGCAATTCTTTCATTTCCCAAGTCCTTAACTTTATTAGATCTCAAGATCAATGCATCCTGTTACCAAGTGGTTTCTAAGTGATAAAATAGCTGTCCAGGCTGGGGAGGTGGCTCAGTGGTAGAGTTCTTGCCTTGCGTGTACAAGGCCCTGGGTTTGATCCTCAGCATCAAAAATAAATAAATAGCTGTTCAGGGTCCCTAATGTGGAAATAGTATTGGACCTACCCAGGCTTCTGAAAAGTGAACAGAAGTGAATAGCAAACAAAAGGAACATTCTCAGGGCAACAAGAAGCCCAATTTTTTCCAGATCAGAATAGCTTTGGATGCCAAATGGCAGGGGGCATTACAGAAAGACCAACCTGTCCCAGGGCAATTAGCAAAGCTGTAGTCATTCTGAGAGACAAAACTATACCTGAAAATAATGACTAGTCTACCAACTGCATACCACAAACTGATGGGAGAGCATCTCCTCTTCCAAATGTGAAGAGCATTTCTGTTCGTACTAGTGGGCTCTTGACACCCACATATGTATAGGGCCATACTGTTAGAAGCTAAAGCACTTCACTTTACTAAATAAACACATGCACATATGCACACCCGCACACACACACATACACATACACACGCAATGCATTGTTAGTTCACATTTTCTTTCTATCAGTTCATCCCTGGCTTCAAAGACAAAGGGCCATGGTAAATAAGCCTCAATGTTCTGAAAGGAATCAGAAAATTCTGGAAAAATAGAAGCAATAGTGGAAGCATAGAGTTCACATTTTCCAAATACACACACACACACACACCAACCACGGAGTAGACTGTATATCCAAAATCCCATGAGCAATATTTATAACAAAATTAGGAGCAGAACACACTTGGACCCCCAAATATGGATAGAGACGAATCACACCACCAGAAGTCCTGCACTATGTCAGCCTATGTGTAGGAAAGTGCAGGAGCTACAGGGTACCCGGTGTTTCTGAGAGCAGAGAGCTGCGAAAGGCCCAGGGGCATCAGAGAGACACAGGCACTGGTCTGACAGCGGTGCGGAAACTAGTAGGAATCTTGGCCACTTCAACAAAATCAACAGGCTGGGGCTGCTTTCCAAGAGAGCACGCCGCACTCAGGCACGGAAGCAAAACTGAGTGGCTCAGGGATCGAAAGACACAGAGAGAGGGCTCGGGTAAAAATGAGAATGAAGCTTGAAAGTCTCAGGAAGTGAACAGCCATCCTTTCAATACAGGGTGAAAACATCAAAACAGAGGGCTCTGTAAATTTTAAAAGCTGTCTACACCAAGCCTCCTTTCTCCTCTGCAGTATCTGCTTTTATTAATGTATATTAATCGTATAAAATACTGGATTTCATCATGGTATTTTCATCTATGTATTTTATTTTTTATACATGAAAGATTATATAAAAGGTATTTCATACATAAAAGACTAATTTCATAAAAGGTAGGAAAACAAAATTATCAAAGCCAAGTCCCATACAAAGTTGTTATATGAAATAAAGAAAACATAGAGCAGAATAGTCTTCCTATAGATAAGAAGAATATATAAGAAACATATGCCCATCAAACAGCAAAAGTAAAACCTCGTAATTCAAAAGAACATTTAGAAAATGGCATTCCACACAAACAATAAGGAAACAACTAATGACAAAAAACAGCAAAATTTATAAATATGGTGAAGGAATTAGGAATAAAAACATATATCCAACTAGACTTTTTTAAAGGAAGAAATATAGCCGAGCATGGTGGTGCACACCTGTAATCCCGGCACTCAGGAGGCTGTGGCAGGAGGATTGCTGCGAATTTGAGGTCAGCCTGGAGCTACAAAGTAAGTTCAAGGCTAGCCTGAACTGTACAGCGGGACCCTGTCTCAAAAAGGGAAAGAAAGAGAGAGAAAGAAAGCTCAAGAAAAAATGACAAAGACTGTAGATAGGCAAGAAAAGATCCAATATACCGATAGGAGAAGTTACTGAAGGAAAAAAATCTATAAATCAAGAAAACTACTGAAATTAAAAAAAAAATTATTTGAAAGCACATGAGAACCAGGCCTGATGGCAAACTCCAATAATCCCAGCACTTGGGAGGCCGAGGGAGGAGGATCGCCATGCATTCCAGGCCAGCCTGGGCTACACAGTGAGTTCAAAGCCAGCCTGAGCCATACAGCAAGACCCTGTCTCAAAAAAAAAAAAAGCCAGACAACACATAATGAACAAACATACCACGTACCAAATAAATCAACCAACACACATCCATGTTGCAGTGAAATTGCTGAAATTTAAAGAAAAAGGAACACATGCCTATGTGTGCATGTAGACAAAAAGAACATGAGCCTTATAAACAAAAAGAAAATTAGCTCATCATCAGATTTTTTGTAAGGCAATACTTCATGCTCAGAAAACAATGGATTTACATAGTTAAGATAGCCAAGAAAAAATGTAACTCAAAGAGTTTTTAGCCTCTAAAGCAGACTCTCAAGAATAAAGGGCAATGGGCTACAAAGTGAGCTCCAAGCCCGCCTGGACTGCATAGCAAGATCCTGTCTCAAAAAGACAAAAAAAAAAAAAAAAAGAATGAAGGGTAAGAGCCAGGCGCAGTGTCACATGCCTATAATCCCCGCACTTGAGAAGCTAAAGGTGGGAGCTGGGAGTGCTGCCATGAGTTCAAGGCCAACCTGGGGTACATAGAGACCCTGTCTCCAAAAAGAATTAAAAAATTAATAATAACAAAAGGCAAAAGCCAGGAAGGGGTGGGGGTAGTGAACACCTGTGACCCCAGCCTAAGGCAGGAGAATCATGAGTTCAAAGTCAACCTGGGTCACATAGAAAGATCCTGCCCCTCTCCTCCACAAAAGGAACAAAGGAACAACCAACTCTTAACAACATCCGAAAAGTCAGGGCACGCTGCTGCAGTTGCTCCTCCCTAAGAAACTCACATCGTGAACAAGCCCCCTTAGCAACACTGTCTGAGAGATGCAGCAGAAGGACTGGTCATGAGCAATGAATACAACTTATCTTTGGACTGAAAATGAAAGGAAGATTCAAAAGGAGAAAAATAGTGTGCACAGTGTCTGTGTAAGATCTGAGGGAGAGAATGGAAATGGCATTTGCCCTACCCCTAGCTTTACCTGCTTTCTTGGTAGTGGTGGTAGGAAAGTGGTTATTCTAACACGACTGCATGTATATGGTGAGATTAAGGACATTGACCACTATGAACATTCTATCTCCAGTATGCATCAGTGTTTACATGAGCTCTCAGAAGGAAGTCAGAAAATACAGATATAATATAGATTCTCTGGTCCTGAATTTGAATGTGTCATACCAACCTAAACTCATAATTTTATCTTTTAAAATGCATGCACGCATCCGCACATTTTCCCTCTACATCTGCCCATTGAAATGGCTTAGTTGAAAAACAACTCAAGAGCAATGAGCCTCCTTGGGTCCAGACTGTGGTCCTGAAATGTTACTATCCGCTGAAGAAATTACAGCTTGTTGAAGAATGACTGCTTCTATTGGTGGGGCAAGAAATGTGTTAGATAAATACATTTGTGTTTGGAGTATCTTTTTATGTTGGATAATAAAGGAATTCATAAGCACCATTAAAATCACATCAAAAGAATTCAGGAGGCAAACTGGAGCCACTAAGGATGATGAGACCTTAAACAGGAAGCACATGAGCTTCAATAAGGATAAGAATGGCATTGTATTAGGCTTACCTATACTTTTATTCATTACTTCGTAATGATAGCTGAAGAAACGAGTAATCCAATCAGTCACTGGTATGATTTGGCTATGATTTGAGGATGTTGCCAAAGGTATATGTGCTGGAAGCTGGTCCCCAAAGTAGCTGCGTTGAGGTGCTAGGACTTTGAAGAAGGGTAGGTCATGGGGGCTCAGAAGAGATTAAGGTGGTTCTCATGGGATTCCAGTATTCTCCAAGAAAAGGAGCTGCTATAAGAACAATAAGCTTGGTGTTTGACTCCCTCCTGCTTCCTGCCTCATTGCATGGCTACTCTCACTCAACAGCATGCAGCCTTGACACAAGGCCATCCACAATGTTCTGATGAAGCTAGAAGTTTCACCAGAGGTGAACAGGTAGCATTGCCCAACACTGGACTTTCAACCTCCAAAACTGTGCTACATAAACCTCCTTTTCAAGAAAGTACTTTGCCTACGGTGTTTCATTATAGTGCAAGAAGACAGTCACTTTCTGAGATCACGAAGGAACCCCCCTAATACATACAAAATTTTATCATGACTTCAGTATTATTTTTTGGATGTGCTACATATCTCAGGGGGTCACAGAAGAGACTGACCCAATCTGTACCAAGCCCACAGAGAAGGAGTTGGAAAAAAAAAGTCAGTAGTGTTCTTGATAGTC